ACAAGGTAAAGTAGCAGCATTTTTACAACATGATGTGGAATTACTACTTATAAATGCTAGTGCTGATATTAATAATAACACATACACTGTCCTGTCTCTAGGAGTCATATTTCTTCCAAATAATTTTTATTGAATAAGTGAAGTGAAGTAAAGGAAGGTTGTATGAAGGCATTTGTTTTGTGCTGTGAAATAATTTGTTTTTGTTTCTTTTTTGTTTGTTATTGTTTTTTTAGTCAAAAAAGAAGCTGATGAGGCATCTTCTGAAGCCAAAAAACCAAGAGTTGAGGTAAATTATGTTACTTCAGATGTCACATGTGGCTGATATTGTTCTCTGTGTGGTATCATTAGAAATGCAATGCTTCAAACATCCCCCACCCCCCAGTCAGGACACTGAAATTGACAAAGTCTGAATATCTTAACGTATAGAATTTTCTGCAGTTTGGATTGTTAAAGATGTTTGATATTATATCACATTTTATCCTGTAATTTGCTAATAATGTGAAAACTGCTTTCACCTCAAGAATGAGGAACGTGTGCGTCTGGCTGCCCGTCTGGAGGACCATAAAGAAGGCAATGTGCAAAGCTGGTGATGTGTGGCCTGACTTACATTGGAATTGCCATCTCAGACACAGAAGACCGGAGTTTGCTGACCATCTCTGGCTTCAACCTTGGAGTTTTAGTGTCATTCGTAATTTGGCCCAAGATCTGATCTGATAAGATTTCGGGGACTTTTCCTGAGTAATGTAATGAGTGTAGAATATGAAGACCAATACAACATTTGTAGCAAGAGGTTGGCAGGTTAAGGGGAACAATGCATGAGTCACAGTTATAGGGTGTTTGCAACTGTAGGTTTACTTCGGGGTGATTACCTGTAGTTTTCAACATGCATCTACGGTATGAGTTAGCAAGTTTGATGTAGAGATACTTAACATCAATGAAAGAGAAACCTGAAACAAAGAACACAAAAGTCAATGGTAAAACTTGGAGTTGCTTTTTGTTATGTTAATTTCACAGATTTCTTAGATCAGAAAAGTTTTTTCAAGTATTAACATCTTGGATTCCTTTTACACAGTCTTTGCTTTAGCTTAGCCACAAATTTTAGTTTTCTGTTTTCTTCTTGTGAGATTATACTTTAAAACAAATGTGGTGACACTTTTTATAAAGTAAATTTGGATTGAGTTTTAACAACACGCTAATGCCAATGTTTGGGATTTTTTTGTGTGAAAAGTTTGTGTTTCAGTCTGAATTCTATGCATCAGAATTTACATTTTACTGTAAGAAAGTACTGTAATAAGCTTTACTTATCACGGTGTCATTTAGTCTTCATAAACAAAAGAACAATAAACTGACCATGTAACTGTGAAGGATGTTTGTCCCAACATGCTGATGTTTTCATTTTTA